ACTTAATAATAGCACAGATCCTTTCATTTCATTTTGTAAAGCCCCAGTTTCACTAGAAGCACAGAATGTCATGTGTACAAAGGAAAAAAACATTCTGGTGAAAAGTTTGATTTTTAACAATCTGAGTTTTCCAGCTGCCTGAACAACTAGTGGCCCACCAGGGCACCAGCAATCTCCTCCCTTGCGTCCCTGAAGCTCATCAAGATTCACTCAACAGCCCGTAGAACCACCTGCCCATTTCATTGTCCTTGTCTTTCCATTTCAAGGTTTCAGTCAACCCTGGAGTAGAGTCCTTGCTAAGTCAGCTCTGAGAGCCTTAGAAGACGTGAGACCACGAACCTCCCTTGGGAGGGAAAACGTTGCAGCACATCGTGATAAAAATATCAAGACAGAAGTTTATAAAATGTACTAGGAAAATCAAAGGAAGAGAGGTGGGGTGGGAAAACCAGAGAGGAAGCGGTACTTGTGCTGGACCTGAAGGATGAATCAGAGCTGGCAGAGGGGCCTGGCATGGTGACTCACATCTGTAATCTCCGCACTCTGGGAGGCTGAGGTGGGAGGATTGCTTGAATTCAGGAGGTTGAGACTGCAGTGAGCCAAGACTGAGCTACTATACTCCATGCTGGCCAACAAAGAGAGCCCTGTGTAAAAAAAAAAAAAAAAAAAAAAAAAAAAAAAAAAAAAAAGTTTGCCAGAGGAAGAAAGTGGTGGTATTCAATCCATGGAGTAAAGGAAGCTCAATGCACAGCATTTTGAGGGAATTCTAAAATTCTAAGCAGTGAAAAGCGGCAGGGAATCCCAAGGGATAGGGAGGAGAAGTAGACAGGAGGCAGTGAATAGTGGTTAAAACTAGTGGCAGGTTGGGGTAGACTGGAACAGAGTGGAGATTGGATCCTGAAGGCAGTAGGCAGCTGCTAGGGGTTTATAAGCAGTACAGGGGAACGGTACCTGTTCTGTTCGGATCACAGAATACTGGAAAGAGGTGAGGAGACTTGGGAATGGCTAAAACACTAGCTGAAAAGCCACATCATCAGTCCCAGGGAGAAAGGACAAGGGCCCAAGGCTTCATCCAATGCTGAGGCAATGGGAACAGAGAGATTCCAACAGACGTCCACGTGCAGAGTGCAGCAGGTGGTGGAAGGTGACCTGATGTTAGGTGAAGGGAAAGGGAGCTGCTGGGAATGATTCCATGTAGGTACTTAATCGTTTGTGAAACTGAGAGAAGAGTCAGGAACTCAGTGGACATGTGGGGACTGGAGGAGGAGGAAGAGGTGAGTTTGAGGCATGCTGAGCTTAAAGTGCCTAATGGTCAGTTTGGCAGAGACCTCTGCCTGGCACTGAAAAATGGATTTGGAGCTCTAGAAAACTGATATGGGATAGATCTTGTATCTTCTCACACGTGAAGAAGAAGTTCAGTTTTGATTCAAGAGATCACAGAGCCATTGTAATTGCAAAGCAATGGAGCAAGACTCATTCTACTGATGGATAAAAGCAAGAAAGTTAATCTGGCAGCTGAAAAAGATGGCCCGGTCCCAGGTCAGACTGAGATCTATTTTTTGGTTTGTTTTCGGGGGTTCTTTGGGTGTTGGAAGGAGTTGCAGTTTTATTTCCTTGCTTGTTTATTGTGGGCATCTAGATGTTACATGACTGTCTCCTTCCCTCACAAGGATGTACTCAATTCCTAGTATCTGATATAGACTTACTAATCACTAACATGCATCTTTTTTTCTGCCTGAAGGTGAAAAGATTGTTTTGTCGCACTGGTCACAAGATGAAAGGGTAAAAAGAAGGCAATTGCAAAATAGTTATAAGTTGCTCTTCTGCTTCTCTCTTCAAAGGACTTCATTAGACCTATTAAGGAGAGCTGGTTGATATGGTTGAGCAGGGTGTGGACTGAACAAAACTAGACTGTGCAATTTATATCTTAGACCCAGTAGAAATGAATATTTATTATAAAAAATTTCAGGTAGATGACAGAAGAATGCCTTAAGGAAGGGGGCATATTTTTCTAATTTGCATAAAGATACTGGCTGGGCTACTAGACAGTTTCCCTTCCTGCGGAAGACAGTTGGCTGGTGTGAAATCATAACAGCAGTAACATACAGTCACGTGTTGCTTAATGACTGGGAAGCATTCTGAGAAATGCATCGTTAGGCAACTTTATTGTGCTAACATCATAGAGTCACTTACACAAACCAAGTTGGCATAGCCTACTGCACCCCTAGGCTGTATGGTAGAGCCCATGCTCCTAGGCTGCAAACCCGGATAGCATATTACTATGCTGAATACTGTAGGCAACTGTAACACAGTGTTAAGTAGTTGTGTGTCTAAACATATCTAAACATAGCATTCACGTTTCTAAACATACCTAAACATAGAAAAGGTAGAGTGAAGGTATGGTATTTGTAATTTTACAGGACCGCTGTCATATTGCAGTCAGGAAATGTCATTATTCGGTACATGACTGTATATTCACTTCACCCAGGAATTAGAAGGCTGAAAGGAAACACAATCCATTTTCCAGTTGCCGGACCACACTGTGAATATCAGCCTGGAATTCAGTCTTTAGCCAGTTTGAATTGTGAACAAACACAATTCAAGATATAGTAATCAGGCTTAAAATCTTGTTGTAGTCAAGTGCAACGTTCTTCTACCAAAAGAGAACGTGTAGCATCTCTGGTTTCCGCTTACATCTTGTGGAACTGGAAGAGAAAGCCAGAAGTTATCTTCACTTACTCAATTCCTTGCTAGGATTCATACATCAATTCCTTAAGTGGAAGATTTTCTCTTACCTGAATATGTAACAAAAAGAACATCACAAGTAAGATTTTAATTGGTTATAATTCATTCCAAAGAGGGAAATACGACTCAAATCCATTACACCTAACTTGTTTCCCTTTTAATGTATTTATTGTCAGGTGTAAGCTCCTGAGAAGACAGAGGCTCTATCTCGTTTATTGCCAAATCCTTATTCTTAGAAGAGTAGAATTGTAGATGCTCAATAAACCTTGCTCTTGTTCTGGCTAAGCAAATTTATTTAGCCTTTTAACCTAGGATTTGAAAGAATTTAGTCAGGATGAAAAGAAATCAGGAACTGGACCAGTTTAAGGGTATACTGATAATCACATTGACGAGTATGGTGAAAATTTACTGAGCAATTACTGTGTGCCAGGCCACTGTTCTGATGGCTTAAAATATGTCAACCCATTGAATCCCCACATGACCCACAGTACCTCATGCAGGTTAGGAAATTTCCCCCATTTCAGCCAGAGGGTGAGTGGCAGAGCTTGCACTGAAACTTGGGCAGCCTCACTCTGCAGCCTGTGCTGATGTCCATCATAGGCACTTTAGCTGCTGCGTTTGCCTGAATGCTAATAGCCTTCCTCTCTCTTTACTACCTTGAGACTGAGTAATGTGGACAAATGCAGATAGCTTTCTTGTCCTTCTTTCAAGACTGTTGGGCTGGGAATGGTAACTCACACCTGTAATCCCCGCACTTTGGGAGGCCGAGGTGGGCAGATCACCTGAAGTCAGGAGTTTGAGACTAGCCTGGCCAACATGGCGAAACTCCATCTCTACTAAAAATGAAAAAATTAGCCGGGCATGGTGGCACGAACTTATAGTCCCAGTTGCTCGGGAGGTGGAGGCAGGAGAATCGCTTGAACCCAGGAGGCGAAGGTTGCAGTGGGCCAAGATGGCGCCACTGCACTCTAGCCTGGGAGACAGAGCTAGACTCTGTTTCAGAAAAAAAAAAAAAAAAAAAAAAAAAAAGAATGTTGTATCTGTACATTTTAACTTGTTCAACAGTCATTTTCCCAATTACTTCATTCTGCTAGTGGCAAAACTCCTGAACAGATAAGCAGATGCTCTGCCCCCTGGGCAGTGTCATTTGGAAACTATTTGGTGTTTGGAAGCTCCACATCCTTGGTTATCTCAAATATGGCTCCATGCGTGCATTTAGAGCCCTGAGGATCCATTTCAGCCCACCATTCTGAAAATGCTCATAGAATATTAGCTTCAATGAGGACAAGGGCTTTGTTTGATTGATGCCATAAACAAACAGTAGTTGGCACCCAGCAGACCCTCGGCAAATATGGAATGAATGAATGAAGCCATGTCCTGAGAGCCCTGAGACAATATGTGACACACCCATACCCCACCCCCTCCAGCCAGTCAGAAAGAACGCGAATGGCTATACTACTTATCTGCATTTTATTTTTGAGCAGTAACTGACTATGGAATTATAATAGTGCCTTTTTTCCGTCTTCTTCAATTATATTCATAGTTAAAATATAATTAAAACTTTCAACCTCACACGATTTGGAAAGATGCAAAGTCAGTGGCTTCCTCTGAGGCTTTAGCTACCCATTATCCAGGGAAAATGCTGGCCTCTGGACAACTGAATGCTGACTGTTGAGAACACTTGCACCGGTCCTCTACCAGAATTGCCAAAAGGGCCTGCAGGGAAAGGAAGGAAGGAATCACCATGTTTAGGGCGCCCTCTTCTGTTCAAAGGGCTGAAGCCACGTGAAGCCAGGGCAAGGCTCTCAGCAGATAAGCATCTTCGAGCAAACGTCAGAGAACCACAGATTTTTATTCCTGGAAAAGGTTTTAGAGACGACTAGTTCAAACCACACATTGCACATGGGAAACTGACGCCCAAAGAGGTCAAATGCTGTATCCACAGTCACGCAATTGGTTAAATCTCGAAAGAGGAGGAAACCAGACTGCCTGGCCCAGGCCCCTCAGTAACAAGAGGAAACTGAACTCATAACCCCAGTCTCTTATGCCTTTGTAAAAATTAAGAACAATTAATCATAAATCTATGGTGCCTATTTCTTATGATTTATACCACCAACTTCCTGTAATGTCACTATTCACATTTTCAATACATGTTAACAAAGATTCCGCAAGCACAGATTTCCTTAAGAATCAAAGAGAACCGAGACAAGCTGGATTGTATTTGGAAATGTGGAGTTTTCCCGTTTTGCGGGCTAATAATGGACACTCAGAAGGACCTTCAGCCTCCAAAGCGGCAACCAATGATACATATCTGTGGAGAACGTCACACAGAAAATGAAATAAAATCCAGGGATCCAATCAGATGCAGAGAATGTGGATACAGAATAATGTACAAGAAAAGGACTAAAAGATTGGTCATTTTTGATGCTCGATGAAACCTGGGAATTCAGAGAAATGTCTTCACTTATACTTAGATTTGCTCTCTCAAAGTTTCTAATTGTTGTATAGCTTTCGATTTTGCATACAGTAGTTTCACCTTCAGGGGATGCATCCCAAGGCCCCCAGGGGACTCCTGAAACCTCAGATAGTACCAAACCTTTATACACCTTTTTTCTATATATACATACCGATGATAAAGTGTAATGTATAAATTAAGCATAGCAAGAGATTAATAAAATAGAACAATGATAACATACTGTAATAAAGTTATATGAATGTGGTTGGTCTTTCTTGCTCTCAAAATATCTTCTTACACAGTGTACAGTACTCATCTATTTTCACATGTGGTTGACTACAGATAACTGAAACCATAGAAAGGAAACTTGGAATGAGTGAGGCACTGCTGTACTTAGGAATACAACTATATACATATGATTTGATTTTTAAGACCATATTGTATTTATCTACTAATATTTTGTATAAAGCAATTTTTTGTTCCATTACATGACTTTTTGTTTTACTCTATATGTAATCTGACACACAATTAAGGGTAAAGTTGCTTACCCAAACCACACTTTTAATTAAAACCTAGAATCATCTGCGGTGCTTATTAAAAATGCAAGTTTCTAGAACCCTCTGAAGTTGTGATTAAATAAATTTATTGGAAACCACAAAAAAAAAAAAAAAAAAAAAAGAATCAAAGAGAGACTTGCCTCTGTTTAGTCCAGCCATTCCTTTCATTCGTTTTCGCCACAGGCTTCATATTTGCTTGAAGATTTTTAATCTAACAAGCAAATTGCACTTTTAGAGTAAAAATGAATTTTCTCATTTTAAAAAGTACAGAAGCAATGACTGCATATGAGATGTCATGCTATCAAATGAAATTAAAAATGTAAAATACTTAAAACAGTGATTAATACATTATAAACATGCCAGAAGTGTTAGCTATTATAATTATATAATAACAATCAAAAGTAAAATGAAAAAAAGGTTTCGTTAGTCTGTGCAGCCCTATGGAAGATTAACATATCATTCCAATTTGATATTTTGAAATACTAAAATTAATAGTGGAGTTCAAAAGTAATTCTGAGGATATCTGGAAGCCAAAGATCCCTAGGCTGGGGCCAACTGGTGTAACCCATTAATCTTCTAGCCTGGAGGGGCTAACTCTGCTCTTACATGGGATCGATGCTCTTTGATCTAATGAGTTGATGTGGGTGCTTTGGTATGAAGGGTGTGCTGTTGGCAATCCTTCAAGCTTTCTTGCTACTCCACCGAAGCAAACATATCCTATTAACAAATTCTTACAGATAGACATCTGGAGCCTAGTAAGGATGTGTTGAACGTTTGCAACTCTTTGCTAAGACCACAGGTTTCTAAAAGAAAAAAAGCTAATTTCATTTATGTGACATTCTAGAAAAGGAATCACTAATTTGGTGACTGTCTTTGAGACAACAGAATTGAATTTGACTGGGAAGGCGTCACAAGGAAACCTTCCAGAATGGCGGGGATGTTCTCGTCTCAAGAAGGGTTTGGGTTTCATGGGTGTCTGCATTTGTTGAGATTCATCAAATAATACATTTACAATCTGTGCATTTTGTTTCATAAGTTTTATTTTTAAAAAAGAACTATAAACAAATATTGAACTCCAGTTAATGATATGTGTGCTGAACGATTTAGGGGTGAACTGATGTCTGCAAATTTGAAATGCATCCAAAAAAAATGGATAAACTGATGGATGAAGGGATGACAGAAAGTGTAACAAAAGATATACAGTAAAATATAACTATGGTGGGCATCTGGATATTCACTGTATGATTCTCTCAACTTTTATATTAGAAAATTGTCAGAATATGTTGGAATGAAAATAATTAAGATAGATATAATCATTTATTCTCTTTAAATATGTTACTCCAATGTATTCAACGTTCAAAGTTCTGCTTTGTAAAAGGGCATTTTTTTTACTATTAAATTTTAAGTTCTGGGGCACATGTGCAGAACTTGCAGGTTTGTTACATGGTTATACACACGTCATGGTGGTTTGCTTCACTCACAGACCTGTCATCTGCATTAGATATTTCTCCTAATGCTATCCATGCCCTAGGCCCCCACACCCTGACAGATTCTGGTGTGTGATGTTCCCCTTCCTTTGTCCATGTGTTCTCATTGTTCAACTAACTCCCACTTATGAGTGGGAGTGTTTGGTTTTCTGTTCTTGTGTTAGTTTGCTGAGGATGATGGTTTCCAGCTTCATCCATGTCCCTGCAAAGGACATGAACACATCATCCCTTTTTATGGTTGCATTCCATGGTGTATATGTGCCATATTTTCTTTATCCAATCTATCATTGATGGGCATTTGGGTTGGTTCCAAGTCTTTGCTATTGTAAACAGTGTCACACTAAAGTATGTGTGCATGTGTCTTTATAGTAGAATGATTTATAATCCTTTGGGTATATATCCAGTAATGGGATTGCTGAGTCAAATGGTATTTCTGGTTCTAGATCCTTGATGAATTGCCACACTGTCTTCCACAATGGTTGAATTAATTTACACTCCCACCAACAGTGTAAAAGTGTTTCTATTTCTCCATATCCTCTCCATCATCTGTTTTTTCCTGATTTTTAAATGATTGCCATTCTAACTGGTATGAGATGACATCTCATTGTGGTTTTGATTTGCATTTCTCTAATGACCAGTGATGGCAAACTTTTTTTATATGTTTGTTGGCTGCATAAATGTGTTCTTTTGAGATGTGTCGGTTCATATCCTTCACTCACTTTTTGATGAGGTTTTTTTTTTTTTTTTTTTTCTTGTAAATTTGTTTAAGTTCTTTGCAGAATCTGGATGATAGCTCTTCGTCAGATGGACAGATTGCAAAAATTTTCTTCCATTCTGTAGGTTGCCTGTTCACTCTGACGATTGTTTCTTCTGCTGTGCAGAAGCTCTTTAGTTTAATTAGATCCCATTTGTATATTTTGGCTTTTGTTGCCATTGCTTTTGGTAATTTAGTCATGAAGTCTTTGCCCATGTCTATGTCGTCGATGGTATTGCCTTGGTTTTCTTCTAGGGTTTTTATGGTGTTAGGTCTTACGTTTAAGTCTTTAATCCATCTTGTGTTAATCTTTGTATATAGAGTAAAGAAAGGATCCAGTTTCAGCTTTCTGCATGTGGCTAGCCAGTTTTCCCAACACCGTTTATTAAATAGGGAATCCTTTCCCTGTTGCTTGTTTTTGTCAGGTTTGTCAAAGATCAGATGGTTGCAGATGTGTGGTGTTATTTCTGAGGCCTCTGTTCTGTTCCATTGCTTTACATACCTGTTTTGGTAGCAGTACCATGCTATTTTGGTTACTATAGCCTTGTAGTATAGTTGGAAGTCAGGTAGTGTGATGCCTCCAGCTTTGTTGTTGTTGTTGTTGTTGTTTTTCCTCAGGATTGTCTTGGCTATTCAGGCTCTTTTTTGGCTCCATATGAATTTTAAAGTAGTGTTTTCAATTCTTTAAAAAAAAATCAGTGGTAGCTTGATGGGGATAACATCGAATCTATAAATTACTTTGGGCAGTATGGCCATTTTCACAATATTGATTCTTCTTAACCATGAGCATGGAATGTTTTTCCATCTGTTTGTGTCCTCTCTTATTTCCTTGAGCAGCGGTCTCAGTGAGGTGAGGAGGCAGAAAAGACTTTGGGGATGATGAAGCAGATGACATTGGTAGGGTGGGTCTCAGAAAGGAGGCAACTGTACAAAGTGGGGAAGCCCTACCTCAGCTGAAGTTGAGCTTTGCTTGTGCAGGGCAAATATGCAGTGATTACTTGAAAACAGCTGCTTGAGAGAAGAATAGAAACACCAGAAGTTTAGCAGGGCTGGCAATTGTAGGCATTCTTTCTCAATCAGAATAAACAAACCTCATTAACACCCCAGTCATCCAGCTGAGAAACCAGAGAGATCATGCCATAAAATAAGAACATTTTATAGTAAGGTCTTCTCTGCATATGCTGTAATTGGAACTAAAACAAAAACTTTAAAATATCTGTATGGGTCAAAGAACTTGGAGTTTGAGTCCTGCAAGTCAGAGGAGAATGATAAACACTTTGAACTTTCAAATATGTATCCTAATAAAGCATAAAATGAAGCCTGTACAAGTTAAAAACATTCATCCAGTAATTAAACTGCCTACAGGTATAAAAAGCACTTTCAGAGGAACATAAGACAATTTAGAATCAAGCCACAAAAAAGTGTGCAGCATAAAAAACTTTAAAATTACTAGGCATGCAGAGAAACAAGAAGTGTGACCCACTATTAAGAAAAAGTCACAGAAATAGATTTTGAGATGGTCCAGAGGTTTCAGCACACAGGCTTTATAGAAACCAGTATAACATATGAAAGAAAAATACATGCATCAAAAAGAAACAACTGGGGGTAGAAATTATTTTAAAAAGAAACAAGTGGGGATTCTAGAACTAAAAATGTAATGAATAAAAATTTAAAATTTGCTAAATGGGCTTAAATGATGGGCTTAAAAGATTGAAGATGGCAAAAGAAAGTTTCAGTGAACCTGAAGACAGGTAAATAGAAACCAATCTGGCAAACAGAAAAACATACTGAAGAAAATCAGACAGAGCTTCAGGAACCAAATGGTCTAACATATGTGTAAGTGGAGACTCAAAAGGAGAGAAAATTGAGAAATAATTTTCCAAAATGAGAAGAAACTGAGAAAGAATTATTTAAAATATGACAGTTAAAGTCCCTAAATTTAATGAAAAACATTGGTTAACAGATTACAGAATCTCAATAAACCTCAAAGTAGATTAATACCAAACAACAACAAATGATTTGGACACATCAATGTCAAACTGCTAAGAACCACAGGGAAATTCTCAAGAGCAGTGTGTACACGCATGCATACAAACACACACACACACACACACACACACACGTTTGTTTGTATATCAAAACAAACAAACAAACCTGACCTTCCCTGGGAGAACATGAATAA